TGTGAGTATAAGGATGTTATGATGTAATATCACTTCCTATATTGACCGTGCCATGTACCTATTTTCCACTGTTACGCGGCCCGAGGCGGGAGCACAAGGAGTGTGGGGGAGGATTTTAGCCCGTTCCTAAACTGGCCATAGATGCTTCCCCTCATGCACCGTCAATTTCGAGACAACCTGAGCGCGGCAGCACACTTCGCTATCGACTTCAGATTGTCGGATAATCCCCGATGTCCTATTAATGATTGCCTCCCATCTGATTACCCTTCTAGCGCACTCACTACTGATTTTTATAATATACGACTAGAATAGATCAGACAATAACTGGATGGTCCTTCCGTAGCAACTTCTAGTATACGTTTGTACATAGCATCGCTGAGTGTGTGTGTTTGTGTTAATTGTACTACTTGAGTCGTAGAGTATCTAGCACATTGAGCTCCTTTCTAGCTCAAGCCTAATCATGTGCATTGATCCCATCATCTTTTGTTACTTGTGAAATCATTGTTATACTGCCCGTAATGAATAGCCGTTCAGCTCAGTATTTACCTGTGGAATTCGGCCACCTTTTCCACGGAACCTTCTACCCAAAAAAAATAAAAATGGTAGTAATGGAAACTGCGTGCGTGGGAAAAAGTCTCAAAAAACCTGCAGCCCCAGCCAGGTGAGGCCTAGACACCGGGACCACATGAGGTGCGCATATTTATCTGTATCTCCCTTCTTTATAACAGTCGAGGCCGACTTGATCTTATCCATCATCTCTGTATCGGGTGCTGGGTACGCTCCGGAAACTCATCGGATGGCTTTTCCTCCATGATCAAGGATTGGTGATGAGAAAGGCTTCGACTCTACCATCTGATCTGATTGTGGTTAGCTTCATGGTAACGGTGGTAGGGGAATGTGTTGAGAGACGAAGACGATACAGACGGCGAAAGCGATTGGGAATCCTCTTCGAAGTGAGGACTTTGTTACTCAATCTCGGCTCTGCAGACTCTACTGTGAGAGCTGGAGGTTCGTAGGGAACGCCACTGATAGGTGTTGAGAATAGTCTCCTTGTAACATGTTGAGTCAGCGATGCTATGGGGGACTATTCTCAACACCTATCAGTGGCGTTCCCTACGAACCTCCAGCTCTCACAGTAGAGTCTGCAGAGCCGAGATTGAGTAACAAAGTCCTCACTTCGAAGAGGATTCCCAATCGCTTTCGCCGTCTGTATCGTCTTCGTCTCTCAACACATTCCCCTACCACCGTTATCATGAAGCTAACCACTATCAGATCACATGGTAGAGTCGAAGCCTTTCTCATCACCAAACCTTGATCACGGAGGAAAAGCCATCCGATGAGTTTCCGGAGCGTACCCAGCACCCGATACAGAGATGATGGATAAGATCAAGTCGGCCTCGACTGTTATAAAGAAGGGAGATACAGATAAATATGCGCACCTCATGTGGTCCCGGTGTCTAGGCCTCGCCTGGCTGGGGCTGCAGGTTTTTTGAGACTTTTTCCCGCGCACGCAGTTTCCATTACTACCATTTTTATTTTTTGAGTAGAAGGTTCCGTGGAAAAGGTGGCCGAATTCCACAGGTAAATACTGAGCTGAATGGCTATTCATTACGGGCAGTATAACAATGATTTCACAAGTAACAGAAGATGATGGGATCAATGCACATGATTAGGCTTGAGCTAGAAAGGAGCTCAATGTGCTAGATACTCTACGACTCAAGTAGTACAATTAACATACATTTCTCTCTTTGGCCAAGACACTCACACGAAGGATTAAATTTGAGACCAATACTAAAGTACGCTTGTGAACACGACACTGTCAACCCTGCTCAGTGGTGGGAGAGGATTGTCGAGATGTTTCCGAGTACTAACTAGGATATGGTTCAAATGGATGAATTCAAGTGGATCCAAGTTCCCTCTAATAGTACCGAAATCAATTACATTTATCCATCATATATCACGACTCAGACGTACAAATGACCTACAAATTTACTCCCATTTTACTCATAACCTCAGCAAGGACCTACCAATCAAGACTCCCCTAGTCCACCGAGTAGTCGCGCACAACAGCGGGAGACTTAGCCCCTCGCTGGCTGCGGTACTAAATTGCGTAATCTCGAGATTAAAATACGGGTGCGAGAAGATCCACTGACGTCCAGAGCGCGCAGAGATTCCAGGAAATAAAGAAGCCGACCGGCGCTCCATCGTCTCGTTGTGACGGGAACAGGCCACGTAGACGGTGACGATCACTGTCGGCGTTTCAGAAATGGAAATAAAGGTCTGTGAGACGTTCGTGGCCGAGATCCAAGATCTCGCCATTTTTACATCCCGACTCGCAGTGCAAAGGATTGAAATAGTTCCGGAGATGGTAAGAATGACATGCCAAAGATGAGAATGAGTTGGAGTCATGATGAATTTGTTTACTATACGAAGAAGTTTACCGATATTTAATGGATAGTTAATTGTGATTAAATTGCTGTAATTCTACGTGTGTGGCGAGTAGTCCCTCTCTGTAAATGAAAGCGGGGGTTTGCGCACGCTAGTGTGAACTCCAACATACTTCCTTGTCTAACCTAAATGGGAAGGTTGTCGGAGATCCAAAAGCCAATGTATGCCGTTTGGCATCTGTTGTCTAATTAGTATTCATGCCAATGAGTGATGATATGGGTTAATCATGTCTTATGGCGCCAGCGGATTTATTCTAATATGTACTATTTGTCTACTGCAGTCATGTTGCTGCCTGAATTACAACACAAAGATGGAGGAACTGCGAGCAAGTCGCTCCATACCGGGCGAGGGAAATGATAGAAGAGAATGGATGGCGGTGGTTTCTCGACTTTCTACCTATAAATACGTGTAACTGTCTATTGAGGATTGGATTGGGTAAGAGCTTGTTAGATGAGATTCATATTATAGTCCTAACTGAGTCAAAGACTATGGAGGACTTCTAGAGTCTATATGTAAGAGCGAGTGAGGGTGTTTATAGTCCTAATGAGTCTATGACTATGTAGGACATGCAGGTCCTCTCTGCCTACAGGCCAAGGATACCTATACCAGTAGTATATCCCCTCCTACGCATCCCATACAGCTCCCCTCAAACAGTACCACCCCTCACAAGTCCTTATTCGATCATACACTTAGAGGAGCCCTTAGCCCTTCATTGTCTCCCCTCTCCAGACAATGAAACGATGGCCATTTGCGGATATATGGCAGCCGGGAAAAATCGCAAAAACCACTGGGTGCGGGACTCTTCTAATACTGACATTTGGAATAAACCCGAAGACATATTGCCCCTTCTGAGGCGTTCGAAGAGGCCGGCCAGGTGTGCGCTGTAGACTTGTGGGTACCTTGGGAAATTCACCCTCTGCCTTTCTAGTCTCCTTCCAACTCCTTCCCGAAGGTCGTGCTGAAATGTCAGAAAGTCTTGACAGAGCGTGATTGCTGTATGGCAACTTAGCCTTACTTCTTTTGTGCCGTCCAGGGCGCTGGGGAGTGCCGTTGACTCATCAACAAAAGAAGCCCTGCTGGCTAATTAGTCGAAATCTTAGTCTTGGCGCCCACAAACGTTTCAAAGTTGAAAGCCCTTCGAAAATGTCAGTCCAAGCATGGTCTTCAGAGACCTCTTTCCCCTCTCGCTCCACATCTCAGCCGCCTATCATTCCTCAAGATGTACAACCCCATTAGAGCATCAGTCCTCCATAAGCCAAGACCCAGGCTTTGTATTTGTCGACTTGATTTCCTCCTTACGGGTATAAATAGCGTCGTAAATTTGTAGTGAGTGATGGCCGGCGATGAATGAGGCAAGCTCCTGTATGCAATTGGGGTGATGCCTTTATCGGTCGGCGAGGCGAGATGATATGTGTTTAGGTTGAGATTGAGGACTCAGAAGATAATGGTGAGTGCTGCATGGTTGAGAAGTCGTCAAATGGAGATATGCATGTATTTGCTTTTGACTTCGATTCGGATGCGATTCTTCTTGGCTATCCCAGATATGCAGAGCATACTGAGCGATTACACCGGCACCACTGGAAGGTGAAGAATTCGTCTTCGCCGGCTAAATGTGTATTCAGGTACATAGAAATGACACAAAATTAATCTCTTGCATTAATTTAAGGTGAATCTCCTCATTTTAGACTCCCACATTCTAGATTCCGTCCACAAATATCATCATGAGTTATTTACGTCTATGTGTAACAGTGGAAGGAGATGACCGTAACCTCTGATAATCGAATTACACATTCATCACGCTGTGCATGAGCACCGCGGTAAGTATGATTGAGAATTGCTGTTCGAGTCATCTCCTCTCCAAACTGGCATGATTGTCCATGCTATCAAGACTCTACTAGGGAAGTCGGTCTGGTTGATGTACCATTGCACCATCCAGCCAAATACGTTATTCCTTTGCTTGCTGCACTCTCACAAACGAAGTCGTGTTTACGCAGGCCATTCGAGGCTAGAGGCTGAGTTAATTAGAGGTGCAAGCATGAAAAAAGGATACAAATTATCATGCTTGTAGACTGGAGCAGGCTCTTGTAGGAATTGATCTTGTTTGGAGGGAAAGATTGATTTGGTACGGAGTCTTGAATTAATGCCTCGTGGGCCAACTTCCTCGACATTTCAAAATTTGACTGGATTTGGATCTAAGAGAATACTTCAATGCTTGATTTATGGGGTGCACCAATAACAGATGTGCATTTGTCCAACTCCTGTAATCAACTTCTCCTCACACGACTCTTGCCAAGGGATATAGGCCCCGCTTAGAAAATATTTGCCTCGAGATGGACAGCCATGGAAATATATACAACTGGGTCATTATGACTTCCAACTTCCATTACGACTCAGTTGTTCCTTAACTTATGAGGTCTGTCTGATCATATTCAGTCAGGCCAATAAATTTCGCATATAACTTCAATCTTATACTCGGCAAAGATTTTGGCAGCATCGGTCTTTTCTGACAACTACTCTTCACCCAAACTCACTCTTCTGATTCAGTAGAGAAGATGGCAATTATCAATATCGGGTCACGACTTCTCGTTATCATTGTTCTATCTGTACTACTTGACTTTTCTGTGTTGGCAACGGAAACGGGTTCCTACTATCGCCAAGTTAAAAACATAATACCCAGAATTACACGCAATAATTTGGGAATAACATGCGAAAAGTCTCGCTCGTATAGCTTCGAATACCTCATAAAAGCTGGCAAAAATGCGCATCCTACAAGAAATTTTCCCCTTAAATTTGGAGTCTTTAAATACGAAATAGAAGGACCGTATTATCTCTATCCGATTTACATAGGTGAAAGATATTACAATGAAGGTTTGTTTCCCTAAACCTGAGTGGTGATGCATTAAAAACTTACTCGCAATCTTGGACAGGACCCATCGGGGAAGATTTTGTTGTTATTAATTCACAAAGGTTTATTCTAGGCGGAGTAACAGTTAGGATGATCTACAATGAGCTGAATTATTATCCGTGTTTACCGCAGAAAACAAAGTTCCGCTTGACTGATGACGATACTATCCTTAACGCTATGGAGGCCGCTGTGGATAACCCTGGATCGAGTAGCAGTGAAAGTAACACAGTAGGAGTAGTAGATGACCGAAATACGAGAAGTAGTGAAAGTAAGACATTAGGAGTAATAGATGACCGAAATATGAGAAGCGGTGAAAGTAAGACAGTAGGAGTAATAGATGGCCCAAAAAAGGAACTGGTCGTCACGCAGGATGAGACAGGCCCTCAAGATTGGAATCCTTTCATGCCGATGAAATACTGGAAATTTGAAGGCCAGAATCTCTTTAATTAAAATTCTTCTGTCTCGCAACGTAGAGATTTATTGTTATCTTGTGGGAAGGAAGAAAATTAGAAGTGCAAGTCTTTCATGAAATGTTGGACAATCGGTACGGGCTCGAATATTAAGGCGGCTCAAGGTTACAGGCGCGATTTATGAATAGATTAATGTTGGTATGAACCGGAATAATGTGTGATAAAGTTTAGAAATAGAAGTACTTTATGGAAAAAATTTCGTGAATTGACAATTCTGCATTGGTGATTCCTAGGTATCTTATACACACGTATTCTCGGTAATCCAAGTCCGAGTCAGGTACCATCTATCATTCCTCGGTCCATACTTCAATAATGAAATTGAATCGCTGGCAAGGACGAACTCTTCAGCTTCCAGTGGTGCCGTTATAATTGCTCAGTATGCTCTGCGTATGTGAGATAGCCAAGAAGGAACGCATCAAAATTGCATTTGAAAGTAACCTCAAGCATATATAAAATCGACGACTTCTCGTCAATATCACACCTATCGTTCTCCCGCGAGTCCTCTACCTCAATCTTACTACATCACCTCGCCCCAACTACCAATAACGGTGTTACGCCAATCGCAGTCAGGAATTTGCCTAATGAAAAGTCGGCCTGTCGGAATATTCGGGTGGTATTTATATCACAAGCTTTCTGTAGCAGTAATAACAATTGGTAGTTAACAAATATCTTCTATCCCTCTTCTCTAACTAAAGGAAACACGTATATACAGCAGATATCCCTCTCTCCTAACGCCATTCCTAAACAGGTAACTCATTACTCATCAACATGATTAGTCATCGTTTATAAGATAGTACATGAATGATCATGAAGTCAGTAGGTCATTGAACACGGCCATTCCCCACTATGTTGAAAAAAACGAAGTAATGCAAATTGGGTGCCGTCACGGAGTCGGTGAATAATGTCAATTAACTGGTATCTCAAAATACATATAACCTTGTCTCTTTCTTCCTCTACTCCAAGCGCCTCGCTAATGAGCTAAGTCAGATCCCTGTCAGTGTCCTAACGACTACATGAATACCGCAATTACATGGAACAATTCATCCCGCCCAAATATGATCCATTTACCGACACCGTGAGTACCCACTAAGGGGACGTTTCAAAACCTTTGGCTATCCAAGCATGCCTTCGTCATCCATGCATACTAGCGACGCGAGAAATGTGGTTGTGTTTTGCCGGATTCGAAGCAGCGACCTACTGTCTCGAGTGGGAAATGTATCCGAGCTATCCAGACTCTACTTGGCAGACCGGCCAAGACGATGTACCACTGCACCATCCAACCATGGCGGTGTTTATAGTGTCGCCTGCATTCTCACAACCGAAGTCTTGGCACGCACAAAGCTCAATTTGTAAGAACTCCTTGCCAAAATTCAGAATTCCTCGGCCGTTGAGAGTGTATCCATCCGTCGCATCATCTTGTTAACTTGTCGTGAATCCCCACATGCCAATCCCAGAGAACAGTCTCCCAGATTTGTGCGCCACGCTTTGCTTCCTTCTTCGGGTATAAATATCGGCGTGGGTGTATATTTGGTGACCGGTTGAGGCCAGAGAAAGTCGACGAGAGGTGTGATCATTGGTATGAGAATGTACTAGGTCGTACTTGTAGACTTGATGAGGCTAAGGTAGGATCCGATCTCTGGGAGTGAATAATTGACATGGTGGAGTATTTTGAAACATTGCCTTGTGGGCCAACTTGATCGATATTGCGAAATTTGACTGAACTTGGGTCTGGGAGAATATTTCACTCTCAAGTTCGTAGAGGACACCGCGTACAGGTTTTCAGTCTTGCCCTCCTTTTTAGGGAGGGTCACCTACGCACCCACTACATGAGTAGTCTAAATGTCAAGCTGAGTTACAGTCGTCGGAGAAGGATATGACTGCTCCGTGCCATGCTCTATAAGTCCTAGGCTTGTGTCTGCCATGAGTAACAACCTATATACTTCCACAATTACATCTACATCTACTGAAATACTCCAGGGTTCGGACAGTCAAAACTACAATCAAAGATATTGAGGAACATTATTCCGTCGCAAATGCAGCGCGCCGTGAAGGCACTGCTAAATCACTGGCCTTCAATTTGTATACATTTCACCCAAGTGCGCCAATGTGATCTTAGATCCATAAAACCTTCCCTCGGACCACGATAGGCAGAGTGAGTGGGTGGGTGTTGTTTATTGTACCACTTGAGTCTATGACTATCTAGCACATTGGGCTCCTCTCTGACCCAGGCCACACCCTGTACGGTGCTCCTATCCTCTTTTGTTACTTGAAAGATCATTGATATATTCCCCTTGATGAATGCCATTCTGTTGGAAAATATACTCTGTACGATATTATATGGATAAATATGATGAAGTAAAGAAGACTTGATATTTTACAACTATGTGAACATTGGACTTATACATCTTAGGGGAGAAATTCCCACTAATCTCATGTGCCTGTCAAACCTAGTGATGACCAGCCGCCTCTCATCTACCATGATTATCCAAGGTACACTGTAGCACGTAAATATCCAATTGTAAATGCAACAGTAGGCGCGATTAGCGCACTCGGGACATGTGTAGAGAGAGTCGATCTTGTCGGGAACCTGAGACGAAACAGGTAGTGGTTGAGTCCTAAATTCGAGAGTCAGAATTTCCAACAGCAAGGAGGAAATCAAGTCAACAAATACAAAGCCTGGGTCTTGGCTTATGGAGGACTGATGCTCTAATGGGGTTGTACATCTTGAGGAATGACAGGCGGCTTAGAAGTGGAGCGAGAGTGGAACAGGCCTTTGAAGACCATGCTGGGACTGACATTTTCGAGGAGTTTTCAACTTTGGATTTTTTGTGGGCGCCAAGACTAAGATTTCGACTAATTAGCCAGCAGGGCTTCTTTTGTCGATGAGTCAACGGCACTCCCTAGCGCCTTAGACGGCACAAAAGGAGTCGGGCTAAGCTACTATACAGCAATCACGCTCTGTCAAGACTTTCTGACATTTCAGCACGACCTTCGGGAAGGAGTTGGAAGAAGGCTAGAAAGGCAGAGCGTGAATTTCCCGGAGTACCCACAAGTCTACAGCGCACAGCTGGCCGGCCTCTTCGAACGCCTCAGAAGGGTCACTATGTCTTCGGGTTTAGTCCAAATGTCAGTATTAGAAGAGTCCCGCACCCAGTGGTTTTTGCGACTTTTCCCGGCTGCCATACATCCGCAAATGACCATCGTTTCATTGTCTGGAGAGGGGAGATAATGAAGGGCTAAGGGCTCCTCTAAGTGTATGATCGAATAAGGACTTGTGAGGGGTGGTACTGTTTGAGGGGAGCTGTATGGGAGGCATAGGAGGGGATATACTACTGGTATAGGTATCCTTGGCCTGTAGGCAGAGAGGACCTGCATGTCCTACATAGTCATAGACTCAAACAGGACAATGAAAGGAACTTCAAAAAAACAAAAAAAAACGGCAATGTTCGAGCCTCTCACGGTACAAGTTGCACCAATTATCATAAAATTTGCAACAGAAACCATAAGCCCTACGGCTCCACTAGAAAACAATCTCCCGGCAAAATACGCGGATCGGGAAACGCCCGGCGCGCCGAGAAAGCAGGCTACAACTGAAGCTCCTGTATTACCCAAAAACCCACAGCATATGAAAATGACGTAAGTAGAGGTGGCTCAGAAAGCAGTAAATTTACCGGCGTTGGCCGTCAAACAAGCCGAACGGGAAAAGCGTGGGAAAATAAGTCTCCTATGCCCCAAGCTATCACTAAGAATTATAGCCGCACATTTTTACCTTTTGGCTGAGGACACCAAAGTTGGAAACTATCGTCAGTCATGATCAAGCGTATAGTCACGGAGCGAGCAGGGCTAATTTTAAGAGCCATCGTGACGCAGTCCTCAGTAAGGTCGGGATTTGCTATAGAGTGTATATCCAATCAGCCGAGGGATTCGATTCTCAAAGCGAGAGATTGCGTAGCCAAGGAAAATATTAAGCTGCAGACTGCCTCGAAATAGACATCAGCTCTCGTATCACATATCCCAATAAGCTTTGGAACATTGGAAGATAAACGCGTCCTCACAAATATCCTAGCCACAAGCAATGTGGTAGCAAAGAAGTCCCTGGCTATTTATTGGCGCTACGCTCCCGATTCAGCTCCGACCTATAAGCTCCAAGGCCGGACATACAATAACCAGCTGGCTGTGGAAACTCGAGGGACAAAAGACAATTGGCGAGTGGTCAAAAGCTAGCGTAGACTCAAATTGTGACGCCCCGACATTTTAGCTGCCACGTAGTCGTTGGCCAAGTCGTCGGTAAGCCGACACAGAGTCACTCTGAGCATTCCAACGACTAGTTCGAACACACACGAGTCTTGTGTGTGACAAATCACGATACGAAAGGTTTGTCATGGATATTGGGTTTCATGCGAAACCCTCGGCTTGTAGGCAATGAGGGACAGGAGGTTTTGCGTAGGCAACATTATTTCAACAGTTGAACTCCTATGCATATATATACAGATTCATATCCTCCTAGATACTTTTTTCTTTAGTTTAGAATCTTATGATTTGAGTCCACGCCAGCTTTTGACCACTCTCCGATCGTCTTTTGTCCCTCGAGTTTCCACAGCCAGCTGGTTATTGCATGTCCGGCCTTGGAGCTTATAGATCGGAGCTGAATCGGGAGCGTAGCGCAAATAAATAGCCAGGGACTTCTTTGCTACCACATTGCCTGTGGCTAGGATATTTGTTGAGACTCGTCTCATCTCCTCCTAGCGCGCACCACTTCCCAATCAATAGTTGGTAATTCCAACTTCACTGTTACACATTCAGCTCAGAGCAACATCACAAGGAATTCTCATTAAATCATATAATCGTCCAACAGATATTATGATATCATCATAGTTAACAATAAAGGGATATACATATTTATACTGAGAATGATTGATTGCTTGCTTGTGATATTGCTCACAAGACAGAACATAGGCTACTTACATACTCCAATGTGAC